TAACACGTTAGTCCCCACCTGACTGCAGCTTCCTGAACAGTGTCTGCAATTCTTAGGGATCCGCACATTTTTCTCACCTTGAGGAACATCACCAGACTCCTCAGATCAGCCACTTCCCAAGCACCACACTAGAAATACCTCCTTTCCAGATCTATCTTATATTTGCCTCAAATCTTTTATCAAACTATTAACGTTATGTGTGAGTTTGTATCCTACCAGTATAAAGATTTTTCTCTTACCTTCTTATTCAAGCAGTTTATGTCTCCTGAAATTTTGTTTCCTGATTTGAAGTAATTCAATATTTACTTCCCCATAAAAGATGGACTTTTCCCACAAGTATTCCTTGAAACATTCTAATGACATAAATATTTCAACCAATATTTCAGGATGACCTACAAGACTAAGTCTTACACTCACCTATCTGAACACATTTAACGAATAGACTTTTCTTATTTTGAAATTGGGTTAAAAAAAAAAAGTAAGATACTACAGATACTTTGACAAATGTGGGACTGCTCCAAGGCAGGGTTTACTCACATTTACAGACATCTTTGACACTGGACCACGAGAGGTTTGCTAGACACGTGATAGACAATGAGTACCTCCGGTACTCAGGGCAGCATTCATACTTTAAAGAAGTCCCAATGGGAAACTTAGATTCATTGGTTGGGATTTTCAATTTGGCAAACTGAAAAGGATCTGGGGCGGTACAGCAACCTAGAGACCAAGAAATCAAGAACATTAGAGTGAACAAAAAGGTACCCAATGCCATTCTTACTTGTCTTTTTCTTGTTAGATTTGATGTCAGATTTGGAATGGTCATTTCCTTGTGACCATCGGAGATAAAGATCCTTGAGCACGTGTCCATGAGGAAAGAAACTATCTGGAACACTCTTGCTCTCTGGGCATTTTACGCATACAATTTACTGTAAAACACAATGCCAGTTCAATTTTCCACATTTTTGTGGAGCCAGAAAGAGTGTTCCCGCCCAGGGTTCCTGTGTGGTTTCCTTGTACTTCAGTGCATCAGACTCCACTGGGGGGCTTAGGAGCATGAATGGGGACCTCAATGTGTTTATTTCTTACAATAAGGAAGCAATCACCGACTTTCTAGGTCTGATTTTCAAGCCGACCATGTCAACACAATGTAGAAAAAGGAGCATCTCTTCAAAGCAAAAACAAAGAAACACAAACTATAGTTCTTATATAAGAAAACACTGTTAGAAGCGTATGTTGAATGTGATTCTAGGTGGAGTTCCCGGCCCCTATAAATTATAGCTCTAAGCTTGAGGAGTACAGACTCGCTGTGGATTCAAGTAGAATGAAATGTAAAAAGTGCATAGGTTTGGAAAAATAGAAGTTGTTTCCTTTTTGGTTTTGACAATAACTTCTCCTTTAGTTTCTTGTGTAGCTGTCCTCCACCTCCCTTTCAAATATCTCTCCAAATAGTAAAAGTTATACTAGAGCCAATTTTGCATCCAGACAGTTCTCCATGTCAAGATTTCAAAAACAGTTTCTCATCCCTTTAATACAGTTTAATACTTTATCTCACTGAAAATGTGCTTAATTTCAACGTGTCATCACAGAAAACTCATTCATCTACTTTACCTGGTTTCCTTTTATTTTTGATGTTGAATTGTAGCTGTAATGGCTTCTAGTAAAAGGAATCCCCCTTTACGACTAAAACCTACCAGCTAAGGCTAAATCACACATGAAGATGGTCTGGCAGGTCTCCGTGTAAAATTCTAGCTGATAAAACTACAGCTGCCATCTTACGATAGGGTTCTGTTGGGGAAAAGATAATCATAGAACTTAGGAGAAGATTGCCTCTGGCTGTTGATTCAGTGAACCTGACAGGTCTCTGCATTTGTCAAGAGGCCCACAGGGACACCTATGTTGAAACCATGATGGTAGAGAAGGAAAGTGAGGGCAAAAAATACCTTCTGAGTGTCTGCACTTGGTCCCTTTTTCTCTAGAACTGCTCTTGTCTCTCAGAGTTTCCCAGGGGTCAGTCTGTTATGCCAGGACCAGGGTCACTTCTGCAACTTACTTTCTCCTTCCCAAATTTACATTCTGGTGTGCATGTCTTAGCTTTGTCGGGTGTCTTAGGAAACCTTCTGCAGACCTTAGAAATACACACTCTATTTTGTACTTTTCCTTCATGTTCACATCCTTTGATCTTTCTTTCTACCAAAGTGGGAAGACATGAATGGCTAAATTACCATGGGGCTAAGGAGCAAGTAAGCTTCACTTTATCTTAGAAGTTAACCCAAGTTGACTAAAGGAATTTTTGTAGGGGTCTACGATGCAGCCCGATGTTCACAGACAATGCACAGTGGTCTCAGGTCAAACAGGTTATTAAAAGCCATTTTCACAGATTTTGTTCTCTGCTGGCCTGTGCTTCTCTCCAAATCCTGTGAAATGATATAACGGGGTCCAGTTAAGGCTCATAGGTATTTGCTTTCAATGCTTAGGCTTTGAAAATACCTTCCTTCTAATTCTGATTAGGAAGAGAGCCAGCCACAACTGCTTCCCTCTCTTTACCTCAGACCTCTAGAAAAAAGACCATCAGAATCTTGCGTGTTCAGATATCTCAAAACATTTTGTTAGTGACTTGGCATTTAATTGGTTCAGGAGCACAAATAAACCCAATGTTATATGACAGAAATTTAGAGTCTGGTTTAGATATTCCAAAGCCATTTGGAATGCGGGGCAGTGAGCACTGACCAGGAAGTTCACAGCGAGGGGCAGGGCTGCTCCAAATCCCGTTCCCATGACCATCACTGGTGCAGCGGATGGTGCTCTCCCCAGTGAGGCTGAAGATCACCCTCGTCTCTGGGTGCAAGTCACACATGTAAGTCACTTCTGTTCCAAAAGGAAAGACTTCCAGAGGGATTCCTGTGTGTCTCCCGTTAAGGATGTCTGGAGGATTTGGACACAAAATTTCTGGAAAGAAGACAAAAGCTTTAAGTTTCACTGAAGAGTCTCACCAGAAGTACGCTACAGACATAGGGTGCTAAGGTTGGTGCTACCTAAAGACACGAAGGCTATGACATGGTCCGTTAGGCCTTTGATGAGATGGACAAAATGAAGTGAGATTTCAGTCTTTTTTTTTTTTAATGAAAAGGTCCAAAATTTTGGCTATCCCAATCTTTCAGACCTTTAATTTTCTTCAGAATAGAAACTTGGCACCATTAATTAAGTATCAAAACTGTTAAAGAATTAAAAATAACCTATTGGAAGGTAACTAATTCATTTACTCAACGTATATTAATTGAGCACTTATTCTGTGTCAGCCTCTCATCAGGGCCCTGGGGATACACAGCAAAGGGCACTGATAAATTCTTGTCCTCCAAGGAGCTTACATTCTCTGCAAACAGCTCTACAGTGTATTCCATGTGTGCTCATCACCTTACAGACTTGAAACCTTTCCTTTTTGACTTATGGAAACTGACCATCAATCTTGGTTATCATGGAAGTGCTGTCACAATGGGTGGAAACATGTATGGTTCATTGCAAATATTCTGAGTCGCTCCGACTGCCTTGTTTCTTCATACGCATATTTGTTTATGATTTATTATTTTTTTCTACCTTTCTGTCCAACATCAAATTGTTACTGTTTTCTGGGATATGCTTGTGTGTTTAAAACGATTCCTCCCTCACTTCTAACTGGGGCTTCTAACTGGGCTTGGGATTTGGAAGGAGCTACTCAAACTAGAAAGAGTCATGAATAATAAGAGGAAGAGTCCAGTCAGTAGCTGAGCTCTAACACACGGCAGTAGGACAACCATTTG